TGTTTTTCTAGAACTCTCTGGCTTTCTCCATAATCCAGTGCATGTTATCAATTTCGTCTCTAGTTTCTCTGCCCCTTCGAAATGCAGCTTGTACGTCTGGGAGTTCTCAGTCCACATACTGCTGAAGCCTACCTTGTAGGATTTTGAGCATAACCTTCTAGCATGTGAAATGAGTGCAGTTGTATGGTAGTTGGAGCATTCTTTGGCACTGCCCATCTGTGGGATTGGGATGTAGACTGATCTTTTCCAATCCTCTGGCCACTGCTGAGTTTTTCATACTTGCTGGCATAAGAACCATATGTAGATATGTCCAAAGTACATACACCGGAAGTAGAAATGTTTCTGCTCATTTTATGAGCTGGAGTGATCCTCTGGGACATTTTTCTGCCTGATCCTATTGACTGTCTTTCGTCTCTGCACCACTTAATTAAAATAATCACTCAGCTGTTGACTGTTTATAAGTTTCCACAAAACGTATTTATTCTGTTACAGTGATGCCTTTGACATTCAATATGGAGTAGTTGTTATCCGTCTACGGGAAGGTCTGGATATCTCTCATCTTCAGGGACAAGGTAACTCTTACTATAATATGTGCCTGGAAAAAATAGAGCTACCAAAACAAACAGTTCGCATTATGATCTTCTAAAGCAAGTTTTGGTGTTTCTCTTCTCTTGGTATTTCTACAAATCATTAAAAGCACGCATGCACGCACGCACGCGCGCGCGCACGCACGACACACACACACACACACACACACACACACACACACACACACACACACACACATTCTAGCAGATGTTTATGATCTTGAACTAATGTGAGGATGAAAGTGATCTGCCTGTTCAAAGCTTGATCTATAAATGTTGCATTCTGTGTTTTTTATGAAAAAACTGCAGGCTTTGTTAATGTGTCATAGTTTGAGATCAAAAAGCTCATTTTAATCTTTTAACTTCCATGTATCTAAAAGTATTTGCACTGGCTATGAGCGTTGCAGCTCACTTTTTAAAGACAGTGAATGGCCTGGGACCTGATTACCTGAAGTCTTTTTATCTATAGAGATGTGCCGTTCAGATTTTTTTGGATTCCCAGAATTATCTAAGAATTCACCAGGCAGAATTTTGAGAATTCCAGCCACAGACCCATATCTACAGACACACATTCATTTCACTCATGTGGAGAGGGGCTTAGCTTGAAGGCTTCATGGCTTGGTGCTTCCTGGGAGGTATAGTTCTTCTATAGGTCCTCTACAACAGTGGTCTCCAACTTTGGGTCTCCAGATATTCTTGGACTTCAACTCCCAGAAATCCTGGCCAACAGAGGTGGTGGTGAAGGCTGCTGGGAGTTGTAGTCCAAAAACATCTGGAGGCCCAAGGTTGGGGACCACTGCTCTACAACACCTAATGGGCACCAAGACTGCATGTCCTAGAAAGCCCTAGGACTCCCAGGTAGCACTGTGGCAGCTTCCTTTTTTAAACAGGAAGCTAGGCCATGGAGTCTTCAAGGTAGTCCCTTTTCCTAGTGAATGAAATGGTGGTGTAGACATGGGTCTATGGGCTTTAATTCTTTAAGAATACTGAGAGTTGGTCTCCAGGAAATTCAAATGGTGCATCCTTATTTCCTTGTGTGATTTTATGGTATATGTTTGAAGGCCTGCTGTTCAGGCTGCCAGCAAAATTGAGACTGGTGAATAGACAAGGTACAGCTTTATTAGCAGTGGACCCCTTAAGGAGCAGAACAAAAAGGCATTAAGGTTTCAGCACAGTGGTGGCATTCTTAAGATACTGAAAGTTCTGCAAAATTATGAAACACGTATTTATAAGATGAGCTGGTTGCATTTCAGCATGCAAATTAAGTTTTCATAAATGCTCTTACTATTTACAGAAGAAGTATTGTCATCCCAAGAGAAATCCCCAGTAACCAAGGACATTATAGTTAATGTAGACTATAGCAAGAAACCTGAGACAGTAACATCTAAGCCAGTGACTGAAAAAGTTCCTATTCATAAAGGTAATTGTTTACTTGATATAGTTTTTTTATCTTTGAAGAATTCAGGATATTTGTATAGGCCAAATCACGCAGTCCAAAGGAGTGTATGGATCTCTCACACGTATAATTTCCTTTTCATCTTGAGTTGTATTTTTGTATCTGTGGGAACTTCAGAAACAGCACATTTTGGTCCGCCTTATGTTTCTGTAAGAGCTAAAAGTAAGCATATTGTGACAAAACAAGTGATGACTTCCTCTTTTATTTCTTTGGCAAAGTAATTGTTCACGATCAGTGGTAGCAAAGGTTTAAGCCACTGCCTTTTAGGGTACTGAGGCACTGCCACATATGTTGTTCTAGTAAGCTGATAGCTAGTGTGTGCTGTTTGTGGTGTGATGAATAAATGTGTGTCTATGTGTGAGAGAGAAAAATTGAGTGCTGACTAGAGATGAGGGTATTTGTATTCGTCTACAAATACGAATATCCCTGCCCAGGTAGAAATAACAAGGGTCCATGGGGAAGAGAAGAAATTCAGTTCACAGTTGTTCTGTCTACTGAAAATATATTAGTTGCAATGCTCTAATAGACATTATGTGTTTCTGCATGCATCTGCATGTGTATAAATAAAATATATATTAACATGCTAATCATTTATAAACAGAATCAGTCAAATTCATTCATGTCTGTTTTTTCCATAATGTTAATTCATTTTATTCATCAAAAGTACACATACTTCACTTTCTCATTAATGCTACAAATAACATTTTGCTTTGTTTTGTTTTCCCACTTCTAAACTTTTTCCAGAAGAGGAGGACGATGGCAAGACTCCAACACAGCCACTTTTGAAAAAAGGCAGGCCATTTTTCCATCTTTTGATTTATAATCCATCTTTTCCATATTCTAAACTTCACTTTATAATTTTTTATTTTCTGTTTCATAGAGTGTAAATCTACATTATCACCTGTAGGAGATGTTCATATGTACTTGGGAATTTGGATAAATTTATGAAGTGTGAAGCATTGGTGGTTTGTAGAAAGAACAATTAGAGTTAGGAATTCCTAAATTGTACTGCATAATAATTGAACATGCAGCATGGATGTCATGGTGTGTTAGAGCTTTAAAAAAAATGATGTGTACTGTGTCTCTGAGACATTGGTCATAATCTAGAGAATTGCACCTGTTTGCTGATCGTGGTGTGATGTTCTACCCTTCTTCACCCAAAAAAAGCATCCTGCTACACTACATAGCAAGGGAGCTTCAAAGGAAGTTTTCAGTGGGCTATTGGGTGACTGTGATTTCTGCTGGAATTTTTAAAAAGCCAGATGTGATGTGATGTCTCTATATTTGGGCAATTATTTTAAAGGAACCTGTGATGCTTATGTTTAAATGCATTATTTATATGGCAACAAGAGGTTTATTGTTTTGAAATGCATTGGTTTGGTAAGTATGTGATGGTAAGGGATAAGTGAGAAGCAGGGAATGTTGGTAGGAATGATTCTAATGGGCTAGGAGAAATTAGGAAGGCAGAGGATTGATTAGGTTTTTGGAACTGTCGGGGGGATAGAGAGATCATGGAGAGTTTTGACGAAAAGAGCAATGAGTTTTGAAAAAGAGAGGTGATAGAATGAAGAATTGTGTTGAATTAATTTAAAGCCTAGGATTAAATAACATCCTTTGGACACAGTTATCTTAATAAAATCCTATTGAATTAATTCAAACTAAGTGGTAAGGAGCTGAGTACCTGAGTGCTAGGCTGTGTAGAGGGTGATATAAGGGCCTGAATGAAGGGGCAAATACACACACATCAAAAATATTTTTTAAAAAAACAAAGATTGGTGGCAGCAAAAGAGGAAGAGAAGAAACAAGTGAAGTTTAGTTTTAAGTGTATATTCCTGTGCTTATTTAAAAAGACAGTTACGTAAATAATGAGTGACAAGACAAAGTGAATTTTGACATCAATATATTAGGATAGGTCAGGCCTTTTGGTAGTTGAGTGTAGTTCTAATAGTTAGTACATTGTCTCCCCATCTGCCTGGTACTGTGAACCTCCTAGCACTGACTTAATGGAAGTTCCGTTTTGAGACTGGGAGGTTAATGATATAGGGAGAGGACTAACTTGAAGCACATGGGATCCAAAGCAATCACCAGTGTACAATTCCAGCACCATGCTGTCATCTCTATAATTCTCTCTTGTCTTTCCCTTCAGAGCCCTTTGTTCTTCTCTTGGTGCCTTTTCTATGTTCTGTGATTCACACATCATCCATAACTTTTCCAACTCTCTTTGACAGATCTCTTCCATACTCCAGCATTCCATACTCTCAAAACCTGCCTCTTCAGATTCTGTGCACTATAGTAGCGTTCTCCATTAATCCATTTCTACCAAAATCCTGTATAAAAATTGTCCTCTGTCAATCTTAAGACCTCAGGCCAGGAAGACAGAAAGGGCAATTGTGTAGAGTGTTCTCTGTGCCCCAGCAGGCTCCCTGATGCAGCCCCAGTGTCACTGGTTGCAACATGAGTCATGAAATGGGGAGCTAGAAAGCAAATAATGTTTTCTGTTATTGCACATTTCCATTTAATTCACATTATTCAAAATAACAACTTTCTGGATATGAATCGTCTCTTTGTTAGTTGTGGGTCCTTGTGGTCTTGGCTGTAGTTTTATCAACAGCCTGAAACAAAATTAAAACACTAGTATTGGTTGTATGGCTATATGTAGCAAAGGAGAAAAACAATAAATAAAATCTCTTCTCAAAATAACTTATCTCATTCTGGTAAAAAAAAAGTCTTGTAATAAAGTTTCTGTGGCCATAAATTGGATTATTTCTTGATGAAAACTCAGAGCAAATGATAAATTCTGGTTTGTTGATTGGTTTGTTTTTAAGTAGTAGAAAAATAAAATACCTAAGTTTCGTTTACAGTATTCCTGTAACCCAATTATATATGCTTTAATAGAATGAATGGCAAAGGCAGTTGATGTCTCTTTTTATGTCTACATAAATGTTTGTTATGCTTATTTTTTTTTGGCAGTACTTCAGGGCCCTTACTTCAAAAATAACACTATGGTCTAAATCCAATTGTTATTCCCAGCTAGAATGGACTCATTGAATGGATGGCCCTTCTTAAGTTAGCACTTACTTAAGGCATTCATTCAGTTCATGTATACTGGCTTGAACCATCAATTGGATGTAGCCTGTTATACATATATTAGAGTTACCAGACACCAAGTAGACAATAGCTTACGGCTTCATCTGCATGTATATTATATGGTACAGTGTATTGTGATGTATTACTGCTCACTCAATAATGAAGAGTTCAGGGTGTATGTAGGCCAGCTAGCTATGCCTCCCTCCAGAATGTGATGACTTACAACAGGCTCTAAAGAGACAAATCACACTTTTTCCCTGCCATGGTTTCTTTACTTCATTTTCCAACTGACATTCAGTGGCTGAAATTCTCTTACTGAATGTAGTAAGTCACAATCAGAGTAGGCCAACTGAATCAATGGGAATTTGGTGAATCCACTCCTATGTTAATCCCATTGATTCAAATGGGCCAACTCAAGTTGTGACTTACTTTAGCCTACTAAGTCACAGTTAGAGTAGGCCCATTTGAATTAATGGAATTTATGGAGCAGTTGACTAACTCTCCATTGATTCAGTGGGCCTACTGTAGTGCTATTTATTAAGTTGAGCAACTAGTTTTTGCCAGTGTTTTAAGAGGACAGAAATAAGGTTGCCAACCAAGGATGGCTGATCAAATGATTTGCCCCTTCTGTTTCTTCCAAAACCTCAGTTCTTTTCTTAAACCTCAAATCCACAGATCCCAAAGGCCTCTCTGTTCCCCTGAACTTGGCTGATCAAAGACTACTTGATGCAAGTTCTCAGTTTCAGAAGAAACAAGGCAAAAATAATATAGATGTATGGTGGCTTTTTGACGATGGAGGTATGATTTTTAAAAAGTTAAAATATTATAAGATTATTAAATCCTGTTTCATTTCAAACACCAAAACCTTAGCAATATGGGAACTGATTTTTCTCCCACGTAGGCTTGACACTTCTGATCCCTTATCTTCTGACAACCAAGAAGAAATGGAAAGACTGTAAAATCAGGGTATTCATTGGTGGGAAAATAAACAGAATAGATCATGACAGAAGAGCGTAAGTTTTTGCTTTCAGCATTTATGCATCTACAATAAATTGGCATTGAGAAATGTATTTATTATCCTACTTCACATGAATAAATACGAATATCTACAAATGATTCTTCTTATACTATTACATTTTGGATGTTCTGAATATATTACATACATCCATATAATCCTACATGCACTCAACTCATCGGATTTTGGAAGCTAAGCAGGGTTGAGCCTAGCTGCTCCTTGAGTCAGATAGGGAATGAAGGGGGTCCCTAGGTACGGCTAGGAGAGAATCCTGTCCTGGAACCTTGAGAGTTCCTGTCATCCAGAGCTGACAGTACTAGGCCAGGCAATGATCAGAATTAACAGGTTAATCAAGGAAGATATTTTTGAAACCTGACAACTTAATTTGCTATGTGGTAATCTATAGCAATTCAAATTCTAACTTAACACCACACATATTTTGCAGTGAATTTTGAAGCTATATAAAATCCTACAAGTTATGTTTAACCATGTTAAATATGATTAACAGTTTTTTGTTTCATTTCTTTTTAAAAGTTTTTATTGAAAATTTCAGGATACGTAGCTTTGTGAAGGAAATTTGTAGAGCATCATGGGCGTAAAAACAGCGAGCTGCATGTCTGGGGGCTGTGTGCTAGTGGAATGTCTTCTGTCTAAAAGGCAAACTACTGACTTTTTCTAATACCCTAACTATAATTAACTCGCTTTACTTCCAAAGTTGCTTCTACATAAGCTTGGCTCCTCCAGGACAATATGGAATTTGGCACAAACACTCCAGTATATTGGTGTATGTGCTTAGGAAAATCTGATTTCCCTGCCTTATTTCTTGGCTGATGACCAGATTTAGTACTTATAACAGAAATCTCTTTGAAAATACAGTTAACTGTTGGATGTTTTAATTTTTCTAGGATGGCTACATTGCTGAGCAAATTTCGGATAGATTTTTCTGATATCATGGTCCTTGGTGATATCAATACAAAGCCAAAGAAAGAAAAGTAAGTTTGTGTGCTGATTCCGTATACTGGTTTTTACAAACCGCAACTGGCAATTCACACTAGCAGTTTCTATGAGAAGATTTTTTCCAAAAATAAAATAATGTTATGTATAATAGAAAAGGTGATCAGATTTTGTTAAAATATTTAAATTAATTGTATATGCCCAACTTAGTGCAAAGCAGTACTTTGGGTGGTAGACAATAATATACTAGGCCCAATACACCTTCCCCACCAATTAAATCCCAAACAAATCCAATCCGGTAAAACATCCCATAACAAACAAACAGATACATTCATTGATGGCTGGCCGGTCCCGCACTCAAAATAACTTCAGGAGGAGAATCTTACTAAAAGCTTCCTTGACGCGACCAACATCTCTTTAACCACTTCTTGCAGGCTGGGAGGGAAGGGGCCTGACAAGAAAGGCTGCTCCAAAGAAGTGAGCCACTACTGAGAATCTTCATGGAAATCTTGTTTGCATTCCTCAGAGTGGCCATCAGTCGGAGACCAGCCTGAGTGGATTGTGACCTGGGCTGATGTTTTTTGGGGGGGAGGCGCTCTGACAAGTAACGGCCCTAAACCATTAAGGGCCTTGTATATTAAGATAATTAGTTGAACTGCTTTGGAAAGACACAGGAAGGCAATACAACTGATCCAGCACTGGGGAGCTATGATGAGGCTTCATCAACCCAGTGATTAATCTGGCCACCACATTCTGCACCTGATTTAGTGTCTAAGCCAGATTGAGGGGAATCCCTACAATGAGAGCATTGCAGTGAGCTAGTGGAGTCACGGAACACACACACACGTTGAGGTAGGGATGTAGGTAGACAATCAGCCTAAGCCAGTTGAAGGCTCACAGTATATAAACATTTAGGCTTTCAACAGAATGATATAAAAACAGATAACTTTATAAGTAATGGAGAATATCATTAAGAAATCAAGGTAAAGCTTGTCCAATAGTTTCAAATTTCTTACAGCCTAGGAAGTTGCTAAGTTGACATTTGCAAACATAATATGAAGTCTTACACCAGTAATTCAGTCTATATCTTAATGGCCTCAGGAGAGACATAGCAACTTAATAGATTTTTTAAAAAACTCATTGTCTTATTGTGTGTAATGTGAAGCAATTTTGTCTTCATTACTGAGCAAACTTGACATGAGTTTTAAAAATGATAATCCTTTTGCTACTCTGGAAAACTCAGTTGTTTCAAATTGAATCAACTTGCAAGTTACAGAGATACTTGTGTCACAGGGGAAGAGTAGGGGGTGGGGGGATATGAAGTAGGAATGTTCAAGCTTAAAATAGCTGTATGAATCAGTCGTTCATTTTATGAACTTCAGCAGCAATACAGTGTGAAAGAAATAAACCTTCACTGCCTGTGGATGTGTGCCAGACCCCTACTGTCCTGACATTCAGAAAACGTCAAAACCTTGTTGTTCAGAGAAGCATTTGGGGATATTCTTCCTTTGTAATTTTTATGATTTACTTAGTTTTTATACTTGTGGCTATCTGTAGCTGCCATATTTTGCTTTCTGTGAGCTGGGTTTTTATATTACTGTGAGATGGGTGGATGATGGTTATTTTGTTTTATTTATTTATTTATTTGATTTATTTGATTTGTATCCCGCCTATCTGGACCACCACTCGAGGCAGCTTATGTTAAGCTTATGTGTTCATTCCTGCTTGTCCACTATGTTTTACTCTTTCGATTTCCTTTCTTAACCCCTTTTTAGCTATTCCTAAACCCTAGCACCCTCTCCACACCATCTTGTCCCTATTTCTCTCTGTCCCTCTCTGATTCCAACTTATGCTTCTCCTTTTGTTGGAAACTGCCCAGATTGGATGATTATGTTAAATAAATTGAAGAGAGAAATACATTCATCTATCCTGTATATTAATAATGTAATATTTTAGTAATGTGTCTTTTAGTACAAATTTTGGTAAGCTATCTGAAAATGGATGCACTTGTCAATTTTCAGCATTGCAGCTTTTGAAGAAATGATAGAGCCATTCCGACTTCATGAAGATGATAAAGAGCAAGATGTTGCAGATAAAATGAAAGAAGACGAACCTTGGAGAATCACAGATAATGAACTTGAGCTATATAAAACAAAGGTATCTTTGAAATTTCATTTGTAAACAGGCATATTTGGCTTTGAGTCTGAAATCTGTAAATTAACTACTTTTATTTTTAAAATGGATACATATGCTTTCTTACATCAACAGTGTTCTCATTTTAATTACAGAGCAACCGCCAGATTAGATTAAATGAATTACTGAAAGAACATTCTGGAACAGCTAATCTAATTGTTATGTAAGTATTGCTTTTTGTGATTCTTGGCATCATTTTCAGTAAATATTGGAAATACCAAAGCACTCTTCTGAAAATGTTATTAGTATTTCTGATGCATCCTCCAAAAATGTGTTCCTCTTGACTCTGATAGAAAACTCTAGTCAGTTTAGCTGTCTCCCAGCCAGTATTTTAGTACTGATGCCCCAGTAGCTCTTTAATTTCCCAAACCTTTAGGCATTCACAGATGCTCAACTGTCATAGTTATGTGATAGTTTTGGAGGAGAGAATATTTGGAGAAAGACACATAATTAGGGTATCAGTGCATGAATGAATGAATGAATGAATGA